TAATTTTTTTCAAAATCATCATATTAAAAATTAAAGAATATTGAAAATGAAAGAACAAAATGTTCATAGGAAATTCGAGGAACTTCTCTTAAAAATTTTATCGCATGTTAAAGATGTGAAAAAATTACTCCTCAAGTTTTGCACTTGTAATTATATTCTAATTTTTGTATTGATTATTGAGGCTTTCGTCATATTGATGTTTTGGCAGTTAAGTATATTTTTCGTTTTCCAAGTTGATAAGTAGAAGCTCGAACTGATCTTTATCGATTATTATCTAGAGTAAAAAAACATTCATATTTGTATACTGATCCTTACGAGCCAATTGTGCATGGAACTTTTGGAGTCGACCAAACTGAACTTTAGGATATATTTATAATATGAAGTATAAAAGACTTCATACAAAATTCAAAAGAAGAAAGTCATGGATTTGGACACCCAGATTATGATGGTTTGGTACCGATATAAATATTCAACAAGTAGAATTTAGTAAATTTAAATTATTTTGAATTATAAGTAAAGTTTCAAAGTTGGGTTTTTCGGTTTTCCTTGGCATCTTTGTTTAAAAATATATTTATATTCATTGTGAACAAATTGCTTTTTTTTTAATAATTGATTCGTGAAGATGAAAGAAATTATGTAATGTCTGAATAACTGTAGCATTCTCTTTTTAAGAATTTATCAATGAACGTTTAATTATTTAGCTGGCCCGAAATTTTAATAATAAATAAATGGGATATTAATTCAATTCGAATTGTGGATCATGTGATATTTAGTCCATGCAGGGTTACACGGCATAAATTTAATCTATTTAAAAAAAATTTTTATCTTATTAAGCTATTAAAGTTATACTATTACCTTTGTAAGCAATATCTCATAACCCTCGTTTTTTAAAAAAATTTTTGACGCTTACAAAGCATACTTTGCCAAAAGTAAGTAAAATTATCATAATTCAGATATAATTCGAGTTTTTGGTAACCAATCAGATAACTAATCAAGTTACTTTATTTAAGTAATGGACGAAGGTGACGTTAAAATGCATGATATAGTTTTATTGGATAACGATGATCAAGAAAATTCAATAAGCAACAACAACAAAAAAAAAAGAAGCACTATCACAGCTACAAAACTCTATAAAGATCGAATGAATGGAGTTGCACAGAAGAAACCGATTCGACCTTCAATTTCTCCAGTTACACCATCTAATACACCATATGTTTCGCAAACATGGAAGGAATATTATGAGCAAATTATGAAAAATAAGGAACAAACAAAGATCGATTTGGAATGGATTGACTTATCTAGTAGACTTCAACAGACATATACTATATATATACAAGAGAAGAGTAAAACATATGTATTTGAAAGTGAAAGAAATAAGGCTATTATTAATCTTTTAAAAGAATCTATTCCTGAAGATCATAATTCGGAAAAAATGCGTTGGAAAAGGGTTTATGATTTACTTTTATCATTAGTAGTTAGTGGTGATAAATTAAAAATTCCTTTTGAGTTGTATCACAAAATGCTAAGAGAATTGAATATGACTATTAATTATCTACAGTCCGTAGATAAAGATGAATTTGAGGACCTTAAAAAATTTTTTTTGGACAATTGTAGCAAAATGAAAGGTAAGCAAGGTTTTTTTGTTTATTTAATTTAAGTATTATATATTAATTGTTATTTAATATTTTAGATTTGTGGTACTGCTAAAAATTTAATCGATTTTTACTGTTATTATCAATTAAGAATTATAATATGTTTCATACCTTACACTTTTAATGGATACTGCGGTAAAATTATAATATGACTAGGTGTACTAATTGTAACAATAAAAATCAATGATTTTTCAAGAAATTTATTTATTATTAACTTGCAGAATGCATACTTGTTAATAAAATTTATTTATTATTGATTGGTGTAGAATGTCACACTTGTTAATTAAGAGTTTTTAAATACATAATATTTCGTAATTTTTAAAATCAAAAGTTTGTTGATGAGGATTATAATACAATGTGATAATACTAGGCCGAACTTTCGTAAAATCAGTACTTTAAGTACTTTACATACAAAAAATTACATGTAATATAAAATTAAACATTTGAAACAAACACTAGTAGTTCGAACTTTGTTAATTTTAACCAAAATGAAAAGCTTTAAGATTAATTCTAACCAGATTTAAAGTTGGTAAGCTTTAGAATTAACTCTGGTCAGCATTAATATATTCTACAACACAGAATAAACATGTTTTTGCTAATCTTTTACACGGTGGTTGAGTATGTTTTACTAATATTTTTTTCGCAAGAGATCAAGATTCTATGTTTTACAACACTAACCTAATATTTTTTTTAGAAATAAAAAACTTGTTTTTTAGTAATATTTTATATAGCTTTGGCTCTAAAAAAGTACAAAAGTACTATGCATGCACGTTGTTTTAGAATTTATTTCTATATTAGATATTTAATAGCTAGAAATGAACGAAACTTTAATTATGTTTTACAACAAGCATGCTCTTTCGCTTATATATTTACACGGCACTTAATTATGTTTCACAACTTCTAAGATAATATTTTTATCAAAGTATCAAGGAGTAAGCATGTTATCTATTTACACGGCGTTTGATTATGTTTTACAACGCCTAATTTTGAAGAATCAAGAAGTAAGCATATTCTTTGGCTTAACAACGTATTAGCTAACATTTTTATCAACGAATCAAGGAACAAGCACGTTCTTTGGCTTATCTATTTACGAGGCGTTTGATTAGGCATCTTCTTTGGCTTATCTGTTCACACGGTGATTGATTATGTTTCACAAAGTATAAGCCAATATTTAAGCATGTTTTTCGGCTTATCTATTTACACGGCGTTTGATTATGTTTCACATCAAGTGAATTTTTATCAAATGAGCAAGTTCCTTGGCTTAACTATTCACACGGTGTTTGATTATGTTTCACAACATCCAAGTAAATATTTTTTAACAAAGAATCAATAAGCAAGCATGTTCTTTGGCTTAATTATTCACACGGTGTTTGATTATGTTTCACAACTTCTAAGGTATTTTGATCAAAGAATCAAGGAGTAAACATGTTCTTTGGCTTAACTATTCACATGGTGTCTGATTATGTTTCACATAGTCTAAGATATACATGTGGTGAAATGTTTCGACCATTTCGGCCATATGTATAGTCTAAGATCAATGAATCAAGGGGTAAGCATGTTTCTTGGCTTAACTATTTACACGGTGTTTGATTATGTTTCACAAGATATTTTTATCAAAAAATCAAGGAGTAAGCATATTCTTTGGCTTATCTATTTACACGGCGTCATATGTTTCACATAATCTAATATTTTATTAAAGAATCAAGGAGTAAGCATGTTCCTTGGCTTAACTATTCACACGGTGTTTGATTATGTTTCACAACATCCAAGTGAATATTTTTTAACAAAGAATCAATAAGTAAGCATGTTCTTTAGCTTAACTATTCACACGGTGTTTGATTATGTTTCACAACTTCTAAGGTATTTTTATCAAAGAATCAAGGAGTAAGCATGTTCTTCGGCTTATCTATTTACACGGCGTCAGATAATATTTTATCAAAGAATCGAGGAGTAAGCATGTTCCTTGGCTTAACTATTCACACAGTGTTTGATTATGTTTCACAACATCCAAGTGAGTATTTTTTTAACAAAGAATCAATAAGCAAGCAAGTTCTTTGGCTTAACTATTCACACGGTATTTGATTATGTTTCACAACTTCTAAGATATTTTTATCAAAGAATCAAGGGGTAAGCATGTTCTCTTTGGCTTAACTATTCACACGGCATTTGATTATGTTTCACATAGTCTAAGATCAAAGAATCAAGGGGTAAGCATGTTTTTCAGCTTATCTATTTACACGATGTTTGATTATGTTTCACAACATCCAAGTGAATATTTTTTTAACAAAGAATCAATAAGTGAGCATGTTCTTTGGCTTATCTATTTACACAGTGTTTGATTATGTTTCACAAATCTAAGATAATATTTTATCAAAGAATCAAGAAGTAAGCATGTTCCTTGGCTTAACTATTCACACGGTGTTTGATTATGTTTCACAACATCCAAGTGAATATTTTTTTAACAAAGAATCAATAAACAAGCATATTTTTATCAAAGAATCAAGGAGTAAGCATATTCTTTGGCTTATCTATTTACACGGCGTCAGATTATGTTTCGCATGATATTTTATCAAAGAATCAAGGAGTAAGCATGTTCCTTGGCTTAACTATTCACACGGTGTTTGATTATGTTTCACAACATCCAAGTGAATATTTTTTTAACAAAGAATCAATAAGTAAGCATGTTCTTTGGCTTATCTATTTACACAGTGTTTGATTATGTTTCACAACTTCAAGATATTTTTATCAAAGAATCAAGGAGTAAGCATATTCTTCGGCTTATCTATTTACACGGCGTCAGATAATATTTTATCAAAGAATCGAGGAGTAAGCATGTTCCTTGGCTTAACTATTCACACAGTGTTTGATTATGTTTCACAACATCCAAGTGAGTATTTTTTTAACAAAGAATCAATAAGCAAGCAAGTTCTTTGGCTTAACTATTCACACGGTATTTGATTATGTTTCACAACTTCTAAGATATTTTTATCAAAGAATCAAGGGGTAAGCATGTTCTCTTTGGCTTAACTATTCACACGGCATTTGATTATGTTTCACATAGTCTAAGATCAAAGAATCAAGTGGTAAGCATGTTCTTCAGCTTAACTATTTACACGGCGTTTGATTATGTTTCACAACATCCAAGTGAATATTGTTTAACAAAGGATCAAGAAGTAAGCATGTTCTTTGGTTTATCTATTTACACGGCATTTGGTTATGTTTCACATAATCTAAGATAATATTTTATCAAAGAATCAGAAGTAAGCATGTTCCTTGGCTTAACTATTTACACGGCGTTTGATTATGTTTCACATACTCTAAGATCAAAGAATCAAGGGGTAAGCATGTTCTTCAGCTTATCTATTTACACGGCGTTTGATTATGTTTCACAACATCAAGTGAATTTTTATCAAAGAATCAAGGAGTATGACTTAACTATTTTCAAGAAGCAAGCATGTTTTTTGGTTTATCTATTTACACGGCGTTTGATTATGTTTCACAACATCAAGTGAATTTTTATCAAAGAATCAAGGAGTAAGCATGTTCTTTGGCTTAACTATTTACACGGCGTTTGATTATGTTTCACATAGTCTAAGATCAAAGAATCAAGGGGTAAGCATGTTCTCTTTAGCTTAACTATTCACACGGTGTTTGATTATGTTTTACAGCATCCAAGTTAACAAAGAATTAATAAGTAAGCATGTTTTTTGGCTTAACTATTCCCATGGTATTTGATTATGTTTCACAACATTAAGTGAATACTTTTATCAAAGCAAATTTTTTGGCTTAACTATTTACACGAGCGTTTGATAATGTTTCACAACGTCTAAGCCAATCTTTTAACAAATAATCAAGGGGTAAAGCATTTTTTTAGCTTATCTATTTACATGACAGCGTTTGATTATGTTTCACAACTTCTAAATAATATTTTTATCAAAGAATTAAGGAGTAAGCATTTTCCTTGGCTTAACTATTCACACGGTGTTTGATTATGTTTCACAACATCCAAGTGAATATTTTTATCAAAGCTATTTGGCTTAACTATTTGCACGGCGTTTGATAATGTTTCACAACGTCTAAGCCAATATTTTTAAGGGTAAAGCATGTTTTTTTAGCTTATCTATTTACACGGCGGCGTTTGATTATGCTTCACAACTTCTAAAATAATATTTTTATCAAAGAATTAAGGAGTAAGCATTTTTCTTGGCTTAACTATTCACACGGTGTTTGATTATGTTTCACAGCGTCTAAGCCATAATTTTATCAAAGAATCAGGGAATCATGATCTTTGTTTATGTTTTTTTGCAAACTTTTTAAGTGCAAAAGGAAAGTAATTTGATTTATTGTTTTTAAATGATAATATTATGTGGTTACTGATGTCTTTTTTTTTTTTTCGAAGATAAATATGTAGTATGCACAAAACACCAATTTCCTATACGTTTAGGTTTTGCAAGTAATTAACAAAAAAGACTTGAAATAATATGTACATTCCGATGTGTTTTGCCTAATGTAAAGAATTTTAACAGAGCTCTATAATGTATTTAATTGACTTGAAAATTTAACTCTTTTCTACGTAGTTAAAAAAAACTTAAGTATTATTATTTTTTATTAATATTAACATCTAATTTGTATATAGATGACTGACTTTTTATTTATTATAGGAAGGTGTTTTTCGGCCCATTGTAAGAAATACGGGTGCGTATGGGTCCGATGACTAGAACGGTCCGTTAACTGGTTAAAAAATTATGGGCCGAAAATATTATTCAACGAGCGCGTATGAGTCCGTGACTAGAACGGTTCGTTTGAAACCACATTACATTATTTTATTAAGTCTTATATGATGAATGAAAAAAAGTTATTATCTGATAGACTTTATTATTCAAAGAAATTTATAAAACATGTGATAATGTGTATCAATTTTTCTAATATTTATTTTTCTTTATTCTCGGTGGTTTCGTTGGTTTCATCGGGTATGTACAAGAAACGGCCCAACAATTCCATTTCTTCCCTTCGATGTGCTGGTAGTAATGGCTCGAGTTCTGATACTAAATTTACCGATTCGGTACGTTGAAGTATTGGTGTTGGTCTGACAAGACCTAAAGCGTATATAAATGTATTAAGGTTATGTTAAGCGAAATATAATACGCTTATTATGTATATATAAATAAAGAATACCTTGATCAGTTAATTGCTTGCTATAAGCTAACTGTTGTTCATAAAGATTACGATTATTTGTTCTTGCTCTGTCTATAGCCTGTTTATGTAGTCTTGCTATACGTTCCGCATCCACGTTCATTTCTTCTATTTTTTGTTTTAGTTGGTTATTCTCGACCTCCAAATTATCACATCGTTGTTTGAAATCATCCTTTTCTTTTGTTAGATGTTTAATGGTATCTTTTAAGGTTTGAATTTCGGTATCACGTTTATAAAGATCATTTTTAAGTTCTATAATTCTTGCTTTATTCGTTTCACCTTCATCTATTAAAATTTGTAATCTTGCTAATTTAATAGACAATTTATCTCCTTGTATATTGTTATTATTGAAAAATCTTGTAACCCGTTTTTTTTCACGCTTGAGAAATTCGACTTGTCTTTCATAAAATTTGGCCAGACTTTCGTAAGGATCGATGTTAGCGGCTCTAGTAATTTTCTTAGCATATTTACGTCCCATTTTTTTTAATATTCATCCCTTTTTATTTTTTCAGCTTTATATATTTTCGTTAATAACATAATTAATTTTTTATATGGTATTATAATAATACTTGATTAAAGAAATATAAATAAAGTTTTCTTATTTAATTATTATTTAAATGACAGCCGCAATTAAAAAGCTAAAAACAAAAATCTTGTATTGATTTACGCGAACTTAGAAATAAATAGTAGAAAAAAACTTTAGATATAAGACTATGATTAAATTAGAGTACTTATTATATTCGGTTATATTTTTTTTTATATTACTAAATAATAAGTTGACTCAATAACTGAGTCACAATTTTAGATCCGAAAATTACCTGTAGTTTGTCAAAACTATAAATTATAGACTGACTCTGGTGGTAGTTCAAAATTATTAATAACTATAAAATACCTTCTTCACTTTCTAATCACACAAGACAAATAAAACTTAATGTCGCCTGAACCAAGAGATTTACCCTTTCCGCCAAATCAACTAGTTTGCTTTTATTATTTGGAATTTCCGTATTCTTTGTGGTCATCACAACTGACAAATTTAATAAATGAAAGTGCTTCTCAAGGTAAGAAATTATAATTAAATAGTAATAAAGAGAAATAAATTAAGCAGTTTGTTCATATAGATACAAATACTTCAGAAGATTCTTCGATCAAAAGTGAATTAAAAATAAATGAGGATGCTTCTCAAGGTAAGAAATTATAATTAAAATCGTAATAAAAAGAGAGAAATTAATCATTTTGTTCATATAGATACAATCACTTTAGAAGATTCTTTTTCCACGAATGAATTAAAAATAAATGAGGACAAAATTAACGCTTTTGATGTTCTTTTTACTAATGATCAATATAAATTTTATATATGGCTTTTTACTCTTTCATTTATACTTAATTTGTTTATTTATTATTTTTATCATAATTTCAAGATTAAGAATTATGTTTAATATCGTATTTGTTTTTTTTTTATTATTTTTAATATTGTTATTCGAATATATAAACTTTTGTATATTTCACAGTTTCTTTTTGAATCAATAAACAAAAATAAAAAACATAAAAATTCAGATTGATGTATCTAATGTGCCTTTGAATGCTCATTACCAGAAGAATGTTATAGACGAGTTTTCATTATGTAAATTTATTGATTTTTTTTTAAAATGTCAATTTAATTGATTTCTATTGACGGCAGCCCATATAGGAAAAAATATTATGACATAGGTCATCGGCCAACACTGCCGCGTACAGTTCTGAACGCTACGTACTGTACGTGAAAATTTCTGCCGATCCTCTCTACCAGCCAATCAAATTGCTGGATACGCACTGTTACGTACTGTACTGTACGTACTGTACGCGAAAAATATCGGGCTATCATATAAATGGCACATCACTAGCCATGACCCGAGGGATGTTAATCGGTCCCGCATTAATTATCAGCTGACTTTGAACAAATACTAGTTAAAAATATCAATTTTTTACAAATCTTGCTCAAAGTCGGCTGACAATTACTGCGGAACCGATTAACATCCCTACATGACCCTATCGCTATAGACGGCTCAAATTTTTGATCTTTTTAGAGTAAGGGCGTTCTCAAACACCTACCTCAATAAATTCCATAAAGAATCTGATTGGCCAGTTTGATCCAACAAATCAATCAGATTCTTTGTTGAGTCGATTGACGTAGGTGCTTGAGAACGCTCTAAGTCAATATGGATTATATGTATATAAATCCATATCTTACCTAATCAGATATAACTGCTTTATTAATTTTGATATTTTTACTGAATTACGCGATTCTGAAGCCTAAAAAGTTTATCTTGCATGGGATTTTCGCAAAACTATCAAGTCTTTTGACTGACTCATCATAAAGTTTATCTATTGATCCTTCCCACATTATAAATATCAATTAGTAAATATTTAAATAAGGTCCGGTGAACGAAATTGATGTGCGAAACCTGTAACTATGATATGTTAAAAATGTAAAGGGAAATTCATGTGATTATATATGTTGTATATATATGCGAATAGTTTCAACGAGCCAAAATACCAAAATATCAGTATGAAAACTCAAAGTAGCCTCCAACTACGAAATCGTGAAATTAAAAATTATTATTACTTTAAAAAATTATTTCATAATATATAAAGGCGCTGTTTTACGGCGTTAGCAAAAAATGCGCAAAAAAGTTTATGTTAATAGTAAAGCGTGTGAATATACTGTTACAATAACATTTGGTGGTATTGAATTTTCTTTCTTACAAAAGGAAATATTTTTATAATGTGATTGTAAATATTATGGAAATATTATGGCTGAAATAAATTTTGATAAATCCCAATTACTAAGTCTATTTTGCAACATAATTATTATTGTACTCCTACTCCTATTGTCCTAAGCATAGCTTAGGATATTATACTCCCTAAGTGCCAAAGATGTCTTATGGCATTTTGACTCCCAAACATTTGGATCTGTACAATCACGAGATACACGTCCGTCACGCCGCGTAATTAGCCAATCACAGATAAAAGTTCGTACCATATACAATAACA